AAAAGGTAAGAAAGCAGAAAGGCATAATAATGAAACAAATACAAATAAATAAGGCAATAGAATCGAATCTTCCTGGTTCCCAAGTTCCACGTGACAAGAGCAGGTGCAATGATTTACAGGGGGTTCTTCCCCCAAAAGCATCTGAATTTATTCAGGTCCTGATCACTGACCAAGAGCAGAAGGTTAATAATGGGATCCTTCACAGCTTCCAAGAAAAAAGCAAACCAAACAAACAAAAATCACCCTAGCTTGCAAATTGAAAAAGTGGAAAAGTCAAAGGGTATTTTTTGAAACAAAGACCCCTAGGAAGCAACTTATCAAACTCCCTGACTTTTGGACAAAGAAAGGCTCCTTCAGACAGCCAAGATGAAAGCAGAGTGACATTCATGAAAAAGAAGGAGGCGTGAACAATGAGGGCCTCATGACCCCTGTAGAAAAAGTACATTTAGGAGAAAAATCTATTTGCTGTGAGAATAAATACGTTTTACATGTCAGGCTAAATCTCGAGTCGATTTTTCTCTCAGGTCAGGAGCCTGTCAAGACCTAAAAGGACCTGGTGGAATCTGTCTCCACAAGCCCATAGCTACAGAGCCTGTTAAAGGAGACCACAGAGTGTGAAAACTGGCGAAGGCTCATGAGGGGCTAGGTGCAGAGGGTCTCCAGCAAGACTGACTGCTGATGCAACATGGGAAGGGCAACTCCTCCTGGCTGGCTGCTGGCCCACATGCCTCGCTTCCAACCAAGATGCCGAACACCAGTCCTGACTCCAGTGCCCATACTCCACCCCTCGTGGTCCCTGACCCCACAGGGAAACCTGTCCCTGCCCCACCCAAGCTAGCATCAGCCTTCTAGTTTCTTCTCTGGACAGTTTCTCCTTCTAGTTTCTCCTCTCCTCCTTCTAGTTTCGCCTCTCTTCCTTCCTGCTGATCTCCACAGCCAAGGACTCATGGCTGCTACAAACATCACCTCCAATATACCAACGTGCCTTCTTCCTTTCTCACCTCACAGCCCCATCACATTGGCTGCCTCAGTAGTACCTGGCCTCCAATCTCACCTCCCCTTCTAAACCATTTCTCTCATGATGAAGTCCAAGTGATTTAAAATACAAACACCACTCCCTAAAATAATTAATGGTTCCCTGTGACAGGGGATAAGGGGCCCTAAGCATGGCCGTTGTACCCAAGTGCCCGGCTTGTCTCTATGTACTCACCATTTTCCCTGCCCATGGCCCTCTACAGAGGTGCTCCCAGTGTCTCTGAGCCTCTGGGTATTCATGCTGTCTCCAGTGGCTGGGATGCCCACCATCTGCCACCTTTCCCCACTTTTCTCCATTAAAACTCTGCAGTGGCACACTGTAGTCCTAGCCACTCC